CTGGGAGGAGCCCTGCCACCCACCTGGTTCTCCGAGGCGCTCTGCTCGTTGCCCATGGCCAGTCCCGGTGCCCAGCGTCCCGCGGGTTTTAGCAGAGGCGCCTGGAAGACAAGAGGACATTCACGTCTGAACCCCAACGAGGCTGGAGCCGGTCCCCCGGCGCGAGCCGGACAGCGGACGTGTCTGTCCCCGCAGCCCCATCACGGACACGGCTCTCGGAGGGTTTCCTCTGCGGTTTGCCACCCAGACCTGTTCCCAGGACCCGCTGGCGTCTGGACTCCCCGCCCGGGGTTGGCAGACGCCTCACGAAAAAGGGTTGGCTGCTGCGTCACTGAGTTCACGCCAATGCACACACACACGTCCATCCACACACACACGTCTACCTAAGGGTTGGCAGACGCCTCAGGAAAAAGGGTTGGCTGCTGCGTCGCTGAGTTCACGCCAATGCACACACACAAGTCCATCTACACACGTCTATCTACACACACACACACATGTCTACCTACACACACACACACGTCTATCTACACACGTCTATCTACACACACACACATCTATCTACACACACATGTCTACCTACATACACACACGTCCATCTACATACACACGTCTACCTACATACACACACGTCCATCTACATACACACGTCTACCTACATACACACACGTCCATCTACATACACACGTCTACCTACATACACACACGTCCATCTACATACACACGTCTACCTACATACACACACGTCCATCTACATACACACGTCTACCTACATACACACACGTCCATCTACATACACACGTCTACCTACATACACACACGTCCATCTACATACACACGTCTACCTACATACACACACGTCCATCTACATACACACGTCTACCTACATACACACACGTCCATCTACATACACACGTCTACCTACATACACACACGTCCATCTACATACACACGTCTACCTACATACACACACGTCCATCTACATACACACGTCTACCTACATACACACACGTCCATCTACATACACACGTCTACCTACATACACACACGTCCATCTACATACACACGTCTACCTACATACACACACGTCCATCTACATACACACGTCTACCTACATACACACACGTCCATCTACATACACACGTCTACCTACATACACACACGTCCATCTACATACACACGTCTACCTACATACACACACGTCCATCTACATACACACGTCTACCTACATACACACACGTCCATCTACATACACACGTCTACCTACATACACACACGTCCATCTACATACACACGTCTACCTACATACACACACGTCCATCTACATACACACGTCTACCTACATACACACACGTCCATCTACATACACACGTCTACCTACATACACACACGTCCATCTACATACACACGTCTACCTACATACACACACGTCCATCTACATACACACGTCTACCTACATACACACACGTCCATCTACATACACACGTCTACCTACATACACACACGTCCATCTACATACACACGTCTACCTACATACACACACGTCCATCTACATACACACGTCTACCTACATACACACACGTCCATCTACATACACACGTCTACCTACATACACACACGTCCATCTACATACACACGTCTACCTACATACACACACGTCCATCTACATACACACGTCTACCTACATACACACACGTCCATCTACATACACACGTCTACCTACATACACACACGTCCATCTACATACACACGTCTACCTACATACACACACGTCCATCTACATACACACGTCTACCTACATACACACACGTCCATCTACATACACACGTCTACCTACATACACACACGTCCATCTACATACACACGTCTACCTACATACACACACGTCCATCTACATACACACGTCTACCTACATACACACACGTCCATCTACATACACACGTCTACCTACATACACACACGTCCATCTACATACACACGTCTACCTACATACACACACGTCCATCTACATACACACGTCTACCTACATACACACACGTCCATCTACATACACACGTCTACCTACATACACACACGTCCATCTACATACACACGTCTACCTACACACACACGTCCACCTACATACACACGTCCATCTACACACACACGTCCATCTACATACACACATCCACCTACACACACACGTCCATCTACACACACACACGTCCCTACACACACACGTCCA